ATAACATTCCTATTATTTGATAAGCTTTATATTATTCAGTTATTAAATGTTTTAAATTATTTGTCTTTGTGGAAAACACTATTTAAAGAATATGGCGCCCTTAATTTTTTAGATTAGTGTATATGAATTCAAAACGATTAAGTAACTGTTAAAAACAATAGAAATAATAGTTGTTTTTTTAAATAATTACTCCTGAAATTGTGCCGACATAAACAATTATAATGTCTATGAATTTCTATAAAATGGCGAATGCGCTAGGGGTACATCATATTGTAAAAATAGATAAGAATCTGAAATGTTAATTAATGATAATCATACATACAGTGCGAATATAAAAAAACGTTCCAAGAAAATTATAATTTATAAATTTATTTGTACATTTGTGTATTTCAGGGCTTAAATAAAACTTGTCCAGATGTAGATATCTACATCAAATTCTATAATATCTGCACATGTAGCCGAAACCAAAGAAGGTAGATACACATACATTCATCAAAAGACAAGTAACAAATTATTACCCATTGTTACGCGAGAATATTCCGATCCTACGAGTATTTAATTACAGCAACCAATTAATTTCAGCACATTGTCTGTTTTACACATACGGCAATTAATTTTACTGTCATTGTGCAATGTATTGTAAAATAAATTGCTTGCTTAAAACAACAAACATCGATAATTCGAAAAATGAAACGTCGTTTCTTGAAATTGATCTCGCTTTCGATAAACTACGAAGTACTAAGAAATGAGAAAGTTGTTTTTTATGAAATGAATTACGTCTTCCATATCTTCCATCTATTTGAACAGTAAATTCACATACTATGTAGGTTATGGTGGCCCAAAAAAAAACGAATATTTTTTTCGTGTCTCTTGTGAAAATATGTTACTTTATCATGTTTTAAGAGCCCCCTCAAAAAATCAGCACAAAAAAATTTTTTTAGAGGTCGCTCAAGATTTTGAAAAATTTCCAAAATCGTTAAAAATTGAATTTTTTTAAAATTTTTTTTCTCGTTATTTTATCATTTTCTAGGTTGAAAAAAATCTCGATTCTGAAAATTTCAAATCGATATTTTAATTTCTAAAGGTCACTCATAATTATTTTAACTTTCAAAGTAGTGTACCTAAAATGTTCTCGAGCGACTTAAAAATAAATATCAACGAACTAATAATTTTAATTATTGAATTTGATGAACAAAGAATAGAAATAAATCACGACACAAATTTTAAAAAATTAAAATATTTGATACACAGTGCGGTAGTAAATTTTGCATCGAGAAATTTTTTAAGTGTCTCGTGATTTGCTTATATTCTTTTGTTCATTAAATTCAATAAAAAAAATTATTAGTTCGTTGTTATTTATTTTTAGAGGTTGCTCGAAAACATTTTAGGTACATTACTTTTAAAGTTAATATAATTATGAGTGACTTTTAGAAATTAAAATATCGATTTAAATTTTCAGAATCGAGATTTTTTTCAACCTAGAAAATGATAAAATAACGAGAAAACAAATTTTAAAAAAATTCAATTTTTGACGATTTTGGAAATTTTTAAAAATCTTGAGCGACCTCTAGAAAAAAAATTTTTTTGAGCTGATTTTTTGAGGGGGCTCTTAAAACATGATAAACTAACATATTATCACAAGACACGAAAAAAAATATATTCGTAACATCTACTGGGTGTTTCGTTTCAGTGGTTACATCCTGCAATTTTTATATGGTTTTCCTTGTTTGTTCTTATTCCAAATTATGTGTTCAAAATTAAATTCTTTTTATGGATTATTAGTGCTTTGCTTCGGTTTATATTTAGGGTTCACTGAAAGTTAAAAACTCACCTCCGAATTGCTGACCTTCAACCCCCGGCCCTGGGGGGCGACGTCCTGCCCCGAGAGGGCGGCCGCCCTGAGCTTTGACGCCCTGGTGGGCCGCGGCCCCTCGGAGCTACTGGACGCGGTGTCCTTGCTGCGCGTCCTGGTGGCTATCGGGGTGTCCTCGTGGGTACCGTACTGCGCGGCCAATTGGCGCCTGCGCTCTTCCTTGTAGCGTGCCACGCGTTCGGCCCTGAGAAAAAAACAGGAAACGACCATTAAGGAGGTGTAGTGTAGCAACTTTTTACGAATACAGCTTTCCTACGGTGTGCTGCGAGCGGAAGTTTCAGGAAATTACACTCGACTGTTTATTATTTGCCAAATAAAGTCGAGCTGTTTCTAAGAGACTTGATTTTCATTCACAATTTTCAATGTAAGCGGAATTCTAGGAGGTAGTGTACAGTGTAACATTTTGACGCAACTGGTATTGTTTTAGAAAAGAAAGAATAACTTTTTACGAATATAAACAACAGTACATGAATATGTAGTATATGTTTTGCAACAAGAGATGAAAATGTCGGTTTTTTTCGTGATTTATTATTCCTATGACACATACGGATGCCAAAAACTATATAGGAGTAATTATTTTGGAAGGATATATAAAAAAAATCGCTAAAAATGTGCAAATATTTATGTGTTTCATTGCGAGTTTTCCAAACGTTCAAGACTGATCCTTGTGACCACTGTACTATTATTTAATTTATTTTTTATAGTTTGGCAAAACCCCGAAAAAAAGAAAAACAGTTTAAGAAATGCCAGAAAAAATACTTTCAAACAGTTATACATTATTTTTATCTTAAATTTTTATCAAATGTACATATTTTTTTCGGAAAATATCATTCACGTTTCAGAAAACATAAAACTGATTGCAGGCAGTTGTTGCTTTTCGACGAACCCAATGGTTATTTTGTCTGAAAATACTTTTTTGGTACTGTTGATAAATTCTGAAATATATTTGGCATTTCTAATATGAATGATGAGTTAGTAAATTTAGATAATAGCTCTTATAACCAAGAAGGTGTTTCTGAAAAGCTAAATTTACGTAAAGTCGACGTTTCGTTCACTCAAACATTGTTAATCTTGCATTAATACTTATAAAACTAAAAATCACAACACAAACTTATCTTTGCATGTAAAGTATTGCAAAAAATTAAAGGGTCAAGAATTTCCGAAATTTTTCCGTGATTTTTGAGACTGTATTTAGGTGAAAAATGGTAGTATCGGGAATTAAAAAAAAGGATTTTGAAGCTTTAACATTCTAGTTTTTAGATCTTTCGGTCGAAATTCATGGATTTGGACATTTTTTTTTCAGCTAAGCCATTACGTGGACCAGATGTTTATTGTTCAGCTTGTTTATTCAGCTTCAATTATCTTTTTTTAAAATTTCGATATAATCATTTTTTATCGAAATATCGGACTTTTAATGGAAAACGATCCTTTTGTCTTCAAACATCGATATAAGGGCCCTAGCCGGCGGGGCCCAGCCAGGACAAAAGGAGATCCCACAAAGCGCCTACACCGGCCGCATTTGCGGTCGGGGTAGACGACGGATGGGGCCCACCTACGAAGGCTGTCCAGGCCTACACGAGATGAGGCAGGATAAAGAGGGATAATCCCCCTCGATCCCAAATCATTGAGGCCAATTTCTAGCCATGGAATAATGGCGCGAATCATCGATATTTCGGCGACAAATGGTCGTACAGAGAATTGAAGGGCAGTTTCGAAAACTGGAATAATTTTTCTTTAACATGCTGCCGCAACTTTTTGGAAAAATTTTTTCATCATTTACATGAATTTTAAAAAACAGAAAAAAGGGCAATTTATGGTTTTTTAAAAAATTGACAGCTAAATTAGAAATATTCACGAAATGACTAATGTTAAGCATGACTTTTACAGTTCGATATACCCAGAAGAACCCTGTGAAGTTTCATCTCGATCTAGAGAACCGTTTCTTTGTTTCAAGCAGTGAAACTTTTGAAAAAAATAAAGGGTTACGTTTTTTGAGCTTAAACACTTCATAATTATGATTAAAAAAGGAATAAGATTTTTTTTTGAGGTTTTCTCTCATTTTTACCGCAAATAACGTTTAAATTGATGAGAAAAAAAAAATAATTTTTTCCAGAGAAGAAAAAAGGTAGTTTTGAAAAAACTGTTATTTTAGGTGATTACAGACCGCACAAAAATTAATTAGAAATTTGTCCAAAAAAAACAAAAAAAAAACTCGAAAATTTTTCGAATTTTTTTTTTTTTTTTACATCACTTTAAACGTTATTTGCGGTAAAAATGTGAGGAAACCTCAAGAAAAAAATTTGCAACATTTTTTTCTCGCGCTATTTCTCAAAATTGCATGATACCGTAGCCTCTAAAAAATTTCGACCGAAAGATCTAAAAACTAGAATTTTAGAGCTTCAAAATGCTTTTTTTTAATTCCCGATGCGACCATTTTATCACCTAAATACAGTGTGTCAAAAATCACGGAAAAATTTCGGAAATTCTTTTGACCCTTTAATTCTTTGTATAATAGGTCATGTATCAATGCATCTTGTATGTACGTATGTAAGAGATCGCCCTAAGCAAAATTTCCACGTGACAGCACCCGTCACCAACGCTCAACCCCTTACCTGGATTCCTGCTTCTCAGACATGTCTTCTGGTTGATACGGCACACTCCCAACAGAATGAAACCGAAGCCATCTAGGTAAACGAGATCGCGAGCGTCTAGTTGGATGTTGCTTACCTGGAAATAAAACGTGAGGCTTTATTGGCATGTCAGATGGCGCGTATTCCGGTAGCAGGGGCAAATTCAATTTCGGTAGCGTAAAATATCGGCGCCGAAATACGGAATACCACGCAATCGAAAAGCATAAACCGTAAAATTTACAATAGTCTCGTAAGATGTGGGCAAATTGAAATGGTTAATGTTTTGGCACTGTATAAACTAAATAAATTTGGTGTTTTAAATTGTCAAGGGACAAGGAAGCGAAAAAAATAATGCAAAGTAAGCTTCATTTATGACGAAGCTGTGCCAAAGAACAATTTATGCCTGGTTATTTTCCAAACGTACTTAGATAAAGAATGTGGCGAAGCGTCATGTTAGTTATGTGGGTCCTGTATGCGGAAATGTTGGTCGTGGAGAGAATTATTCTGTGATTATAATACTTTTTTGTATCATAATTCTCAATGTTCCTGTGAACTCATTAGTCCATACGGGAATCAGCCGATGTTGGTGTAGGTCATAGAACCGTGAATCAACTGTGTGTCCTTGACACTCCCATATGTTTAGTTTGATGTTGAATAACAGCCAGCCATAGATGGGACTTATAAATTGGTATTCATTGTTAAATATATGGTAGACATACATTCCGAGTTAATTTAGTAATTAATTAATAATTAATTTAAAGATTTTATAGCATGACTACATATTTTCCGCGAATCTTATTTCTATATAAACTAAGAAAATAAATGCACCTAGCTTATTATATATTTTGACGCCTTTCAAATAAACCGTCAGTGCATAAATTTAAACTTTTTCGCACATATTCGTAAGGATTGCTCAGCTATAAAAACAGGAACAGATGAAAAAATATGGGGAATAATTATGCTTTTACAATTTAATGTGGTTTTAACACCATGAATTTCTCAGAGTTCTAATTAAATCATACCGCCCTTCTGTACATTTTTATGAAGATAAAATATAGGACCAAATTGCATTAGTAAACGTTTATTCACGGCATGTTGTATCTTTGTTACATTTAATCCGATTCGTGGCTTCTCTATCTGATTGAAAAACCTGCCGGAGCCTTCGAATTAATATGAATGTATGGAAGTTTCAATACATTTCGATTAATTATAATTAATCGAATAAAATAAATAATAATAAAATAATGATTATTATTTGTAATAATTTTAAGATAACGCTTTTTTATTTTACTTATTCCGAGTTCTATTGCCTAAAAATTAAAAAAATATGATTTTCTATTCCTGAAAAAAAAAATTTAAAATGCATCCGTTGTTATTATCTCTACATGAGTGTAGTAGGTGAAATTTGTGGATATGCTACTTTAGTCATGGATTAACCAATTGAGATAACGTTGCAGAGTATATTTCATATTAAACTATCATCAGAATTAAAAACGGTTTGTCCTAACAATTATTATCTAATTTCGCTAAGCTCGCTAATTCACTCTGTAAGACTTTCAAGTATCTCAGTTTTATAGGTATTTTCGTACGGGATTTTTGCAGCATTTGTAGACAATTTTATATAATTTATAACAAATGTACTAAAAAAAAATTATTTACTTTAAAAAGGACATGTCACAAAGACTATAAAAAAATTACTTCTTTGTTTGTTAGTGGTCTTCAAAATAGTTTATAAAAAAACAACTCCAAGATGAAAACAAATTCGTTGTCATGTTCAAAGATTCCATGGCATGCTACATGTTCATATTTTCTTTCACTGCATCAGAGATTTCAATAGAACCGATCGTTTTCTTGGATAGCGCCATTGAAAACTACTGAATTGAAAGGAAGAACGTATCTAAACAATTTCTTTTAGCAAACACGCACTTAAAATAAATCGGTGTATTTATTTTACCTTGAATTTATATCTAAAACTAACCTTCATCGAATCAAACGAACACACATACACAAAAGAATGTTTGCTATTTCGAACGCTCACTGTTTTTTTTCTTTTCGACTAGGTACGGAACGTGCGTGATGGATATATTAGATATTAGATATTAGATATGATCAAACAAAACCCAGATATTGCTTGATAAATAATAACAGTGCTTTGGAATTTTTCGCTCTAAACGTCACACCATAATGCACAATTAACTTTTATCTGAGCATATCAATATATTGTATTTACATTATTTGATAAGGTGAATTTACCGTGAATCACGAAGAATTATAAGTTGGGTGCAAATTCTATTTATTAATAATCGCTATATTCAAATGGATTTATTCAGTGATATTTAATTTATAACCTGTTTTTATATTTTCCCATTTTTTTAAGTATTTTGTTACTCTTTTATTTTAACACCCTGTATATTATAACGGCCGTCGAAAACAAAATTCTCGCGCATTGGTCCATCCGCATAAACAATCGCGAAATGTAAAATAGACCGATGACTTTGTGTTTATAAACGTAAGAAAACTTCCGAGCCAAGAATGCACGAAAGCAGCACCAAAATAAATATTTCGCGTAATCGAGATGAATTATTTTGGGTTAATGTGTTTGGTGTAGCGAGCTCTGTTTATGATATAAAAAACTCCATGTAGAATTATACGGGGTGTCCGGAAATTACACGCGAAGCAAGCCCCGAGAAAAATAAAGCGAAATATTGACTCGATTTTAAAATTCTCTTTTATACTCAAATTCTACTCTATTTTTACTGTTTTGAAAGGTACTAAATACGTTTTTCCTCAGAGATTGTTATTTTTAATGATTTTTAATGTTAAACGTTTATTTTCGCGAAAAACTGCAAATACAAAAATGATAACCAATTTGTTAGTCAATAAGGACCATTTAAGCTCTTTAGTGCATATGTTATTCCTAATAAGACTACCAGATTAAACAAACTAACATGACTGAAAAAAAGGTACGGCTCTGCCTTATGGTTATGTATCATTATTTTTATAAGAATAGTTCTCAAAATATTTTGCTCATAATTTCGGGACACCCCGTATTTAACCTATGATACCAGAGACTTGCCTGAGAGGATACAGGTATGTGGAAATTAAGTTTGTGGAAATTTTCCTCGAAATTCTTTGAGAAATACATCCTCGCCTTTGTCTTTGCCCACGTGTGTAGTAGATACGTTGACAGAGAATGGAACCCCTTACTTATTTCAATGCAGACAAGAAAGTTCTGTGCGAAGGTGGAATATAAGAAATTGCGAGGAGAAACAATTTTCAGGTAATCGTGTTTACAATATATGTAACATTCTCAATATACGAGCTATAGCAATAAGCACGGACTTTTTGTTCCAAATGCAATCTTGGAGGAATATCGAAGCATTGAGTTACGAATGGCAAATCCGTGCGGCTGAATATTTTTAGAATAAGAGAAATAGACGTATATTTTTCAAAATCTTGGTTTGGTAAACATTAGGTCGACTTATAAATTCGCGGGTATCTACTATAAACGTAATATATACAATTTAGATTCTAATGAAATACCAAATAAAATATCNTATTGTATAATATTATACATTTGGTTTGTTTGGGATCTACCATCTGTTAAAATATTGACAGACCCTTACATCATGTCTACCATTTGCCAATAATAAGGTAACAAGTTGCGGCCGATTTTTCAGAATTCAGGAAGAAGCAACCGCTGAAATAAATATTCATAGAACTCTGCGGTTGATTTACACAAACGTGTGGTAAATTATGCCGGAACCGTTGAATGAAATTACGCATAAATGTAAATAAAATAAGTAAAATAAACAAGGAAATCAAACTTCTTCCCTGTAGCAAATTTCTCAACGTTTTAACCTGTTTTCTTGAATAAACAGCGCAAGTAACAGTGGAAGATCTGCAGAAACAAAGCGTTATTATCGATATACAGACATTATACCTTAGCATTTCGCAATTCTACACGAGACAAATGCTCTCGTTGTGGATTGAAATATATCATCCACTTTACCAGCGTAATTTTCATCTGTCAAACTTTCACTGGTAATATTTCACGTTTTTTTTAAGTGCCTGACACGTACATTTGCATATCGCTAGTAGAAAGCGATATGTTATGACGACTAGACATCGATCTATAAACGAGGGTGAGCCCAGTAAGAATTTTTTTTTTAAACATGTATCCAGAATATATGACGAGATTTCAGCACGGGAAACTTTCTATGGGGAGCATCTAAGCGCGAAATATTCAGTTTTAAATAATAAATATGTGATACATTCACACAGTACCAGCGAGCGGTTCGTTATGTGCTAACTTGGTTAAGTCTAGAGGGAATATATTAGTTATACGACTGGAACAAAATAAACAAAAGAAATAGAAAGCAGGA